TTTAAAGCATAAAAAGTTAAACAAAACATTAATTAAAGGACTTAAAGGATTAAAGAAAAATTTGAATTGAAATTGAAACGGAAAACATCTTCATTCAAAGGAATCATGACAGACTCTCACCGGGAGAAATTTATGAGTTGAAACTATGATAATTTGTTAGTTTGAATATATTTCTCACAGCATAACATATAAAAAGACAACCACAGTAGTGTTGGAGATTTTTACTAGTAAATCAAAAGAATGATGTTTTTACAATATTTGACATTTGGAAACTATGCGAATAAATTTTTCAAATTATAAAAATCTAACTAATTACTGGTGGCAGGGGATAAAATAGTAGTGATATTATGCTCTTATAGCACCATAAGACATATTGGAATATTTTGGGGCCCATTTTGTCACATTTGATATCATTGAAAGTGTACCATTAATTAGCAGTAGAATTTTATATTAAATTGTCTATTTTAGCATATAGGAAGTGAATCTTAATTCGTAAGGGGAATTTGTGAACATTTTAATAACAATAAGTCCTTGCTAAAGGGTATTTTGAGAGAAATATGTGTAAAATACTCATCAGATAACCTAAGTTCAAAAAAACATTGATTTATGCTAAATGTCATAAAAGAACGTTTGGGGGTAATTTTAATTATATAGAATAGGTTGTACATTAGTTTTAAGCATATTCGGCAGTTCCTAATCCAAAATTTATCCTTTTTATGAAATTCAGAGTCCCAAAGTGAGGTTGGGAGTGACAATAAAAGTCAAAATCAGTATAATTTTGACCGTCCTAAGGGTAGGATCGTTGAATGAGCTCTGATCGGCAATTGTTTGAATTGCAAGAGCCTACCAAACATTTGATTTTATTTCTGACGCTGTCAGAAAATAATTTTTGGAAGGTAACCTAAAAAAGTTGGAGATTGTGAAACTGACTGAAAGGCGAAATTTTATTACTTGCCGAAAAGGAATAAACAGGAGAGCCCTGTTTTCTCTCGAAGCCAATCGATAATGGGAAAGAAATAGCGAAGCGAAGTGACATATTCCTGAAAAAGGATTATCAGTGAGGTGTTTTTTCATGAAGTAAGATTAGTTGTAAACACTATTGATAAATTTCTACTTACTTGCCTTATAGTCAATTTTATTTGAAATGATTTAAAATACGTACAAACTTTTTCCTGCCTAATCAAGAACATTTCTTTTTGTTATTTATAAAAATTCCTAACCTCATTCGATGACAGACAATTTCTAAATCTGGTAACTTATTGGTGTTACCAACCGCGATAACTGTTCTACTGAGGACATTTGAATAGGCAACATCTATTACTAGGATTGTATGATTAGCGTTTCAAAGGTTTTTTGAATATTTTCATTGTATTTATCATTTAATTTAAGCCATTTTTTATTCATTTCCATCTCATCTAATTGATTATAAATTACATTATTTCTTTGTTATTGATTATATCTTATTGAATCTGATTTCTTTGTTTTATTGAAAAGAGTGAGCAATCTGTGAAATCGCAACCTACACGCCCTGAGAAAAAGAGAAATCTCATGGTGGACAAAATTAATTAAATAAATATAAAAGATAAGTATTATTTTTTTTTTGTTGTAAAATTTTTTATGCTCACACCTATTTTCATTATATTTTACAAGAATTATAAATCATTGTAATATATTGGGTACTTTGTTTTAAAATAAAAACTATGTCAACTATGCTCATCGTAACAGGTAGAAATTTCCCTTGAATTACGGCAGGTATGTTTGTCTTCTTTTATCTTATTGGAAAAAAGTGAGAAAAATTTATTTTTTAGGCTGCTCTTGGCAATGATTTTGTTTTTTGTGGATGGAACATTTCTATTAACTTCAATGAATACAAAAGTTATCGAAAGTATCTAAAAAAGTAAAAAAAATCACATGATACAAAACTATTAATCGGCAAATATAACAAAGTGTTATGAAAAATGTTAATAATAATTTTTTTAAACTTATTACCGCTGAAAAACAACAAAAAATTGATTCAGCGCGTGATCGGGCTTTCTCTTACCCATCTTATGCATTGAGTTGGAAGTGAGATAGAAGTACTTCTCTCTAAAAGTACACGCGGTAGGAAGCATATTGTTATAACGTAAAAAAACATAACAAAAAACAAAATTTATTTAGGCAATTTAGATAATTTAGGTAAAAAATTTAAATTTATAGCATTTTAAATTTTGAGGTATATTATTTAATTCAAGAAAATTAGAATTTTCGTCAATTTTGGATTTAAAAAAATTTCTAACAATTAAAGGGTTGAAGATACGATGATGGGCGTAGGGACTTTTTTATTCAAAATATCCTAAAGAATAAAAAAAAATTAATTCATTGTCAGAAATGCATTTTTTCTGGCTTAATTAATTTTTCGTTGTTTAAACAATAACATCAACAGATACAGAGTGTCATCTTACACTTTTATAATAAGGAAAGCCTTCCGGACATTAAAAAAAAAAATTACGAATTAACACAATTTTGCAAACGAATGCGCCAGTATGCTCTGGCCTACTAGAAATTCTATAATTTTAATTTAATTTTCTTGTTACTATTCACTTTATATTTTACTTCTTTTCTTACTTTTGTTCACCCTTAATAGCCGATAAAGGAACGTATCGCATTATGCAACGTGTTGGCGCATCGACTTTAACAAAATAGCATCTAATTAAATTCCGTTTATTCTTGATGATAATATCTCCAAAAACCGCCGTCATATTACATTAAACGTCAACGTGTTCTCTCGGAATCCGCGTTCCTTCGCTTACAATATATACCTCCTACCTCCTCGGATCCTCTAATCTCTAATTGACACAGATAACAGAAGGCGCCTCTTCAAGTCGCTATTAATTTTGATTTTGCGAGAGCCTTGGTATTATTAACTTGTGCATATTTGTAACAAAATAAGTTCTTGTTTGTTAACCTATAGTTTATTATCAACTTATCTTCATTTGAACATTAAAAGAAAGTAAATATCTTGTGATGAAATCTAATTTTAAAACATCTGTAACGGACATTTATTAGAAGCTATTAAAATACGATTGTGAGATTTTACGTTACAGCTCGTATTGTAATGAAGTGTCTCTTAACAGCCATTGAATATGTGTTCCATATACTATTTTAGCCATTACCATCAAGTCACAATAAAAAAATAGGTATTTTCAAAATTTATTAAAATAATAATGTAATCTATATTTGTAACGTGTGAATGAAAGGTTACCTTACAACACTTATATCTCACTACGCCCATTGTGCATCCTCCTAAATTGATAAGACACCTCTTAACTCACGGGCCAGCCTACAGATTTAATGCAGTTGTTAAATTATTTAGGTATTTATTGATTATTAGAAGGCCATTCCTTTTTAATTGTTATCAATATTTTAAATTACATTTTGTTCTGTATTTAAATTTAAATGCATTTTTTATTTTCCTTGTATACCACTTAATATTTTAAAAAATTCATTCTTCGTTATTGATTTATTATTGCAGAACTTTTTATAATTTTTTTTGTAAAATTAATAATAAAAAATTCCCATTTCTTGTCAACTTTTTTAGACATTTCATACCAAGTAGATTAAACAATATTTAACGTAAATCAATAAAATCGTGTCAATTAAAGCTTATTCAATATTTAGCATTTTATCGCGAATCATTGTTACGCCGCTGCATAGGAGGATTATGGGTAATTCTAGAAAAAACATTGTTCAATAATTTCGGAACTTTGGGATATTTTCCGTTTCAGAAATTGTGGATGAATCTCTAGTTGAAAAATGAAATAAATAAATTAAAGAAAAAATTAATTATTCTAAAACAACAACTTTATACAATTTGAGGTACGTACAAGAAAATAAATAAACTCACTTTTTCTAGACTTATGTTTTTCTATAAAGCAGGAATTACAGTAGAATCATAATCCAGCGAACTTTTGGATGGCGATTAGGGACAATTCCAACATTCTCGAAACTGAACTACTTAAATTACGTAGTACACGAAAAGAGTAGATGCACTTGTCGAGACACTGAGTTTCTAGATTTTAATATAACTTTATAATTGATACTGAATTTCAATTATTCATCTGGATTCGAAGGACTATTTGTTAGAGATTTGACCCCGTTATATTAAATAGGAAAGTGCAAATGAATGATAACAAATTTGAAACATTTTACTTTATTGTTTGGTAGTATGTCTACAAAGTCTTAATCTTATTATATAATTATTATATTATTATATTATTATATTATTATATTATTATATTATTATATTATTATATTATTATATTATTATATTATTATATTATTATATTATTATATTATTATATTATTATATTATTATATTATTATATTATTATATTATTATATTATTATATTATTATATTATTATATTATTATATTATTATATTATTATATTATTATATTATTATATTATTATATTATTATATTATTATATTATTATATTATTATATTATTATATTATTATATTATTATATTATTATATTATTATATTATTATATTATTATATTATTATATTATTATATTATTATATTATTATATTATTATATTATTATATTATTATATTATTATATTATTATATTATTATATTATTATATTATTATATTATTATATTATTATATTATTATATTATTATATTATTATTAAGGCACAGAAAAAATTCAATTTGCATTTTTTTGCATTTTCTGCATTTTTTTGTACTTTTTTAAAAAAATGCATTTTTTTTCTATGAGAGTTTTGTTTTGCTTATTTCTCAAGAATTTTAAAATTTTGTTAGATACAACCAACATAAAGGATTTATTTCGGACTTTTTTTAGGTACGTGCAATAAAGTAATAAAGTAATTCCCAAGATAATCCTCCTAACCATAACATTTTCTTATCAGGCAAAATTAGGGAAACCCAAAGCAGTTATAAAATAAACTACTTGGGATTCCAGGTACTTGTTTGTTTGGTATTAAACCTTTGGTCTATAAAGAGAAAAATTTATTAATAAATATGGTTTTAGTTCCATTTAGAAAGTGCTACCCTTGCCTTGCGTAAATTGTGTGTTTCGTTAAGTAATTTGTTAAAGTGTTAAGAATTCAGAACTTATACGTTAGAAGTGTTGGAAGTCCAATTTGTTCTCAAGTAAAATGCTTTTTAATACAGCGTGGATTAAAGGTTACCGAGAATTTACATGGGATGGAGACAAACTTTTCTATACAGTTTGTTCAAAAATTGTAAGTATTCTGTTTTACTAAGTATATTTTTTTATTTAAAAATAAATAAGTATAAGATATCTGAAATAGTACCAAAGTGTTTCTTTTAGAATAATATATTGTTTTGTAAGGCGAAACAGAGCTTTCTCATCTGAGTCTTATTTGATGGCTGAGCGATGCCAGCAAAGTACAAGACAAACTAATTTTTCTATATAACATTTGAGCAACATCATATTCAAATTTTTAATTATTTTTTTCCTTGCTATTACAGATTCATGCTGATAAAAAATTAATTGTGGATCAGCATGCCAAATGCTCAAAGCATATTCTTAATATGCAGAAATCGGAGGGAGGTACATCACAGCAAACTCTAAAAACTTGCATTAAACAAAGTGCAAAACACACCGTTCAACAAAAGCAGTTCAACGAAGAGTTGTACAAAGCAATGATTACCAGCAATATACTGCTGGCAAAATTAAACAATCCCAACCTAAGGCAATTTCTAGGCAAGTTCTGTAATATAAATATCCCCGATGAATCAACCATACGCAAAGGAAGTGTCGATTTTATTTTTAAAGAAACTTTAACTAATATAAAAAAAGTTGTTAGTTCAAATTATTTTTATATTATAGTAGATGAAACCACAGATTCATGCGGTAGATACATTGCACATGCGTTAATTGGCGTATTAGAGGAAGCGACCCCTGGCAGATCTTATCTTTTTGCGTCAAAAAAACTTGAGAAAGCGAATAATTTAACAATTACCAGATTTGCTCAAGACTTTTTAACCAATTTCTTCTTACCTGATGCAATCCCAGGAGAAAAATGTATCTTATTTTTATCTGATGCTGCACCTTACATGGTGAAAGCAGGATAAAATTTAAAAAAAATTTATTCTGACATGTTACATGTAACCTGTTTGGCTCATGGAATTAATAGAGTAGCAGAATGTATAAGAGAGGAATTTCCTTTGGTAAATGACATGATTAACTTTGTAAAAAAAGTATTTTTAAAAGCCCCAATACGTATTCAGTTGTACAAAGAAAAATGCCCAAATATTTCCTTACCCCCACAACCAGTTGTAACACGTTGGGGTACATGGCTTGATGCAGCTATGTTTTAAGCCGACAATTACGAAACAGTTAAAAGTGTAATAGACGATCTGGCAGACTCCTCTTCCTCCGCTCTTATGAGTTCAAAAAAACTTTTTAAAAATCCCCAAATAAAAAAAGACCTAATTTTTTTAAAAACCAATTATTTTTTTGTTTCTACCACTATAACAAAATTAGAAAAATCATGTGCTTCTTTAACAGAGTCGGTTGCTCTAATAAATCAGTTTGAGTCGGATTGTAAAAAAATCTGTGCAGTTACTGGGTCACTGATTCGCAAAAAAATGGAATCTGTGATTCAAAATAATACAGACTTTCATATTTTACAAAATATTGCAAAAATGTTTGCAGGTGCAAATACTATAAATGTGCCGGATATAAAAACAAGTATAATTTGTAAATATAAGTATGTTCCTATTACATCAGTTGATGTTGGAAGAAGTTTTTCTGTTTTTAAACACATGTTTACGGACAAGAGACAAAGTTCCCTTATGGAAAACTTTGAAACATATTTAATTATTAATTGTTTTCATAATTGTAAGCCATAATCTAAGTTTAACATTATTTTTATATTTTTGTACTGTTTTTCCGTTTAGATTGTTAATAAAAAACTTTTATTTACCTACATAAAAGTTGTGTTTGATTTTTGAAAAATTCCCTCGTTACCAAATCTGAAAGTGTTATTTTCCTCATAATTTCTAAGTAAAAAAATGCAGGTGTAATAATTATACAAATAAGTTTAGCAAGCTTAATATTATGCTTAATTTCTTGCATTTTTCTCTAAAATCTTTGCGTTTTTTTTGCATTTTTTTGTGTTTTTTGTTTGCATTTTTTCCGTGCCCTAATTATTATATTATTATATTATTATATTATTATATTATTATATTATTATATTATTATATTATTATATTATTATATTATTATATTATTATATTATTATATTATTATATTATTATATTATTATATTATTATATTATTATATTATTATATTATTATATTATTATATTATTATATTATTATATTATTATATTATTATATTATTATATTATTATATTATTATATTATTATATTATTATATTATTATATTATTATATTATTATATTATTATATTATTATATTATTATATTATTATATTATTATATTATTATATTATTATATTATTATATTATTGTGACGTTTGTTTATTTCTTAATAATTTATCTGAACACTTATTTATTTTAAAACAATTCTATTCTAATTTATATATTTCGAATGCCTTTAAACTGTTCACTATATACCTTCATAACTGTTTGTATACGACTGGGTGCTCCGTGTTCCTCCACCAATATTTATATACACATTTAAAATGCTGGTGAAGGTTCGAGAATATTCTTACCAATTCTCATCAAAACTCTAAAGCGCCTTCGCCATAGTCGTCACATATATTAATCGGACAATTGAACCTCAAAGGCCAAATAAGACAGAGATGGACTTGGAGGATTAGAGCATGACTGAACAATGACATGACTCGCATTACATTAATATATTATTATATTATTTGCCACATTATGTTAACTATAAGGAGGAGAGATACGCCCCTTTTTCACATTGTAGATATCCACTTAAACAGATTTGTGGTAGACTTAAGTCAAATTGCATGCATATCGCCCCGTCCTGCTTGTAACGATCGACTTGCGTCTAGCGATTTAATTTTGTTTTAAACATCAAGCTGAATGTACAAACGATTATGTTATAAGGCCTCATTATGACACTAAACTTTTGTTAGTGTAAATCTCTACAAGTTAAGGTTGTTAATTCCATGTTGCCACAGCATATTTTATCGCCCTACAACGCATGGACTAACTGAAAACTAATGAATTAAATTGTTATACTAGTGGCATCTGACACATAGCCCGGCATAAATATAACAACCAATTAGATATACATCGAGAGAGAGATATTCTCTTGTAGTGAATGGGCCTTTTGGTGTTGTTAAAGTGGATAGTTACATTTCACTTTGGGAGATTTATTGTGGGAAAGTATATGGAGCAAAGCGGTTACAAGGACATTTATTGTAAAATACGGGATCTATTCCCTGTTCGCAATGATTCTGGCGAGATGTTTTCATTACCTGTGAACTCAAATTCGTCTTTTTAAATTTAATTTACATTTACATATAATCACACATTTACACAATAAGTAATCAATATACAACGATAACAAACGACGTGTTAATGGTCTATTGAATAATGAAAAGTAATTATGATAATGATAATTATGATAATGATCAGCAGTATGAAAACTAGAGATAAGGAGGCGAATCGGCGTACTCAAAATACGATCCCAAAAAACTCACGCTAATTGAGCTTTCATAATTAACCGCATAGGCGCTAGTACTGCATACGGTGTTCAAAATACATGGGAATTATATATAATATTGTCAAAATAATAAAAAAAACTTGTTTATAGCTAAATAAAGCACAGAACATACTGTTGTATTTATTTTTAAATAAGTCTTGCATGTTTTGATTGATAAATTATTTAATTTTATGTATATAAAATACAAATTAGGTATGTATTATAAAATTCGAAAAGGTTTCTTAATTGCTGAAATTTGATAAGAAAATATTGTGCCAAATTTTTTTTGAATTGAACCTATATATAGTTAAGAGCAAAATAAAACACAGTTAACAAATTTTTTATTGTTTTAATACAAATATAAAGGGAGATTTGAGAATGTACATGGTATTACCACAGCTTATACAATACAGCTCCACAACTCCGTGTCGGCGTCTTTGATCTGGCGGTCGAGAACCAAGCAAGACGGAATGGTGCTATCTCTGTTAGATTCGAGGGAAAAGTCAGGCCCGGATTAAACAATTTTTTTATTATTGAAAAAATTGAAAACCTTGGCGTAATAAGGTTGGTCACATGCCATATTAAGTAAGTTTTGGGAAATTACATTTTTAATTTGTTTTAAATCTTTCAAATATAATTAAAAAAATTATTTAAATATAAATATTACGAAAAATAGCACATCTTTCGGATTAGAGGTAAAATAATTTATATGTGGCTAGTAAAATCCTCGTTAACAAATGTTTTGAGCTAAAACAGTCACTTCACGACAAATTGTGGCTTGGATCCTTTTTTCACCAAGGGCTTCAATTGTTAAAGAATTGTGTCACGCTCGTGGATGCAAATCAAGTGGTACCCCCGTGTCTCTGGCAAGTGTTACTCTTCGCGCAAAGGGTTTATACCTAGATAAACGAATGCTTCGACTGAGGTCTGGGAACTCTATGGTATTTTGGAATTATAAAGAATGTGTGCTTTTGTTTTAACAATATTGGTTATATTTAGATGTATTCTTATTATTTGAAATACAGATTTGTAGAAGTTATACTTTGACAGTTTTTATTAATATAATATATTCAATTTTTATCTGACCATACCGAAGTAGGAAATTTTAAAACTTTATAGTAATGTGAAATTTGAATTACAATATTACAAGATATAACATAATTAGTACTTTTTTAGGTAGGTACCAAATTTGTACTTGGAGAAAGTAATATCGATTTTTACAAGAAAACTTGAAAAGTAAATTAATTTAATTCCTATTTCTGATGTAAAACTTAAACCAAGAAAACAAATAAATTGTAGTTTGTTCAACAAGGGTGGATATGATAGCCATATCACACAAAGACGAAGTTTGAGCACGACGTCGTAGGCGGAGTACTCAATCGTCTGATTGTGATATGAACAATCTACTCGATATGGTCAGTATATTTTTTCTACGACCCACTAACGAAAATCTACAAATTTAAAAAATTATTTTAGGTTATTTAGACAAAATAACTAATTTTAAAATAATTTACGAAGTTGACTAATTTATAAAATAAAATAAACATGAAAAATTAATTAGTCCTCGGCCTAGATTCGATCCCGGACTTTTCGCGTGGAAGGCAGATGCTCTGTCTTCATCTTCACCGAAACTTTCAGGACTTTAGTTTTAATACTCGTAATTAAATTAGTATCATGTAGTTTAATTAAAATTTATTTTTTTTAAATGTGGACACAATAAAAACAAAAATGCTATTATTTATCGAGTCTGCACAAAAATTTTAATGTATATTTAATATCAATAACTAAAATATATATTGACAATTAGTTTAACAGAATTGTCACTTATTTAAAAAATTTTAAATAATAGGAGTTGAGTGACCAAAATATGAACTGTGAGTTGTAGATTTAATTTTGTTAAAGTGTTCTTACTACCTAAAATGGATATGAAATATATTCGTAGTTGAACACAATAACATACTTTTTCGTTTTGTAGTATGTGCGTAGATTGGCTAATATCCATGCACAGATTACAAAACGAAAAAGTATGCTATTGCCTTAAATTGAACGAATATATTTCATATCCATTCTAGGTAGTGAGAACACTGCAAAACAAAATAAATTCGCCAATCACCGTTCATATTTTGATCAACCGACTGCTATTATTTTTAAAATTTTAAATAAATGACAATTCTGTCAAACTAATTGTCAGTATATTTTTTAGTTATTGAGATTAAACATACAATAAAATAAGTTATTCTTTTGGAAAACGTTAGCATGGATGACTAAAGGGTATTGGGTTAATTAATTCTAAAAGTGTGGTACAAATGTTATTTTTTGTAGCCAATTCTTCAAAATTATTTTGAAATATCTTTTCAATATTGAATATTAGTTCTACAAATTCTATTTCAACGTGATCTTTGTTATATTTAAGACAGGTATCACAGGAGTG